CACGGGCTCTCTTTTCATCTCCTCTGCTCCCTTTTTTCCCCCCTCTTTCCACACTACTTCCTCTACACTCATGACACACATGAATCCAATAAGTTCAAATCATACAGGTGCACTCTACAGAGAGTAAGCAACACACAAACGCATCCACAGAAAAACACAATGAGACAGAGACACAAAGATGCAGCCGAAAGAACGGCGTTGTTTTTGAGACTCCAACTTTTCAGTCACCGACGCAGCAACGCAGTCTCTCTTTGCTCGGTGCAGTCTCTCACCCCTGGCCTCCTCCTTGAAACATCATTTTCCTTCCACTCCATCTCCAACTCCCAGCTCACCCACTTGTTGTGAAAGACTATGAAATGCAAATTGTCCTCTTAAGGCAATCAGTGTTTGAAAATGTGGCACAAAGCAATAGTGAAAAAGACATCAGCACTCGAACACCCTTTCATATACACTCCCTTTAGATCAACAGTCTCCTCTCCAGACCTGTCTCTTTCCACCTGTGTGTGTGTGCATGCAAGAAAAAAAAAGAGAGAGAGAGAGGGAGAGATAAGACTTTGGGAATTTGCTTCAGTTTGACTCAGGAATGTTCCAGCTACTGTTGCAAGAAGAGGACGAAGAGAGAGAAGAGAGAGGCAGGGAGTGACAAAACATGAAGAGAGCAGCTGGAGGGTGCTGGCACTTAACTGATTGTTTTTTTAGTATCCTCCATTCAATCCTCACGTCCCAACCCCCTGCTGCCTCGTCCTGAATTTATATGTGTTTATATGCGTATGTGTGTGTATGGGTGTGAATGGGTGTGGGGGTGGACTGTCATCACACCCTTAATAATTATCACTATCAAGCTGGCCACTGTTGGTGTCAGTCTGTTTGTCTGTCTGATGCTCATAAATTGTTCAGTGCCATATTTGGCATGAACAGGCAGTCATGCCTGTGCGCACACGCACACAAACACACACACACACCGAAGTACCTCATTCATTTATGCATCTATTCATTAGCTGTGACAGGCAGCCACCTCTCCTCCTCCCAAACCACTCCGCAGCAAGTCAATATCCTATACGGCCTCCACAGCCCCGGACAGGCACTTGGGCTCCCCTAGTGACTGTCAGCCAGTGGGAGGCGGGAGGAGAGAGGAGGTGGGAGGAGAAGAAGAGAGGAGACGAGGGGTTAGGAGAGACAGAAGGATGAGAGGATTAAGAAGGAGGGAGAGACTTGCAATTAAAGGCCTGCCCCATAAGAGCCATTAAAAAGCCAGAAACAGAGGAGTCAGCTGAAACGGCAGTCTGACACACACACTCTAAAACACACCCACACACACACACATATGCACATTCACGCTGCAGACACACTGCTGCTCACCCTGGACTAACACATGCACAAACACACGCACACACACACACACACACAAAGGCCCATGTAAAGAGTGACAGGAGGTGAGATGCTGAAGGTCGATCCTCCGGAAGTCGCAGTTATTGTCCCAGTGGAAACCAGTGATGGAGCGCTTAGAGTATGCCTGGCGACACAGTGACCCATCAGGAAGACTGTGTGTATATGTGTGTGTGTGTGTGTGTGCTACCTGTGGTAGACACAGGAACGAACATCTTTCTCCAGAGATCTACTCTAGAAACCCAGACGTTCTGCATGTCTGAGTCTATGTAATAATACATAAGGACAGCCTGAGCTAAAGGTTTGCACAGGAACATACAGGCACAGATGTAGGCAGTCACACATTCATCTATCAACACACACACACGCACACACCTATTAGTCTGCCTGTGTGAAAGAAAGTGATAAAGAGAAAGTTACTAAAGAAATATCTAACAAAGCAGAGAGCATGAGTGGGAAGTTAGATTGGAGTGAACGGTGCATTTGGGGAAATCAACCTCCCACTCACGCATCAGTGAGACCATCTCCCTCTAAGAAAACTGGTGGCATGTACAGAAAAGCAGACAGCTCCACACACACTGACATACACACACATGGGCCTGAGGGAGATTTCCAGAGAATGAGGAAGGGATGATGATGTGATTGGGCGGGGGATGCCGACACTGCAACTGACTTGTGCCGGCGCTCTCCCCGGGGGGAGATTCCGTTTTGGGTCTGCATTTGTGTATGTGCTGATGCACATTGGAAGTCTAATGACGAGCTTCACCCCAAAAGAGATCTGGAGAAACAGAAAGAGTGGTCTGTGAACTGGAACTGTCACATCCATTCGAAGTGGCTGGAGTGATGACTGCTGCTGCTTCTCATCAGGATCATATGGCCTTGAACAGTTTTCAGATTTGCAGTGCGAAGGACGTTGCACGCTGAAGTGTCCTTTTCAACTACAAAATCAATTTCTGCCTTTCTCCTTGAGTGTGGGGAGCCTTGTATACATATATGGGTGAAATAACTGCATTAGCTTTACCAGGGGGAGGCCTGCTGATGCTGTAATTTGTTCCAGTGCACATCCACCGCTCCTCTCCTTCCCAGAACAACCCTGTCAGTGTCTGACATTGAT